CCCCCCCCCCCCCCCGCACGCTTTCAACGATCTACGAACAGGTGGAAAAGAAAGCGATGGCTATCGTGCTCGCCGTTAAGAAGTTTCATAAATTCTTGTACGGCAGGTGCTTCCTGCTCCTCACGGACCACAAACGGTTATTGTCCACCTTCGACTCAAAGAAGGGCATCTCAGCATACTCGGCTAGCTGACTCCGACGCTGGGGTACGATTTTGATTTCCAATATCGTCACACGGCAAACTGACACGCATACGGACTATCCCACCTCATCGAGCAAATGAAAAAGATAACGTCTTCATAGCGGTCCATATCGATGATGACGTTCAGCGCCGCTATCCGACAGTATAACAGACAACCCCAATCACTGCCTCGCGCAACTAATCGAGATCCTGTGATCCAAAAGGTAATAACATTCATCATCACATCCTGACCACGAGAAAACACCTCAGTAGATCTCCCACATTTCTTCCGACGTCGCAATTTCCTATCTACCGTCAATGGCTGCGTCATGTGTTATGATCGTGTCGCTTCGCCGCATTGTGCTCCACCAGTTCCACTCCAGGCATCCCGGCCTGTCTGGAATGAAAACAATAACCCGTGGCAACCTATACTGGCCCGCAATGGACTCCAACATAGAGCAGACTATCAACCAGTGCTCTGGCTGTCAAGTACTCACGAAATTCCCAATACGACAACCACCAACACTGTGGCCGATCCCGGAGACCGCATGGTCTGGTATCCACATTGATTATGCCGGGTCAATCTACGGACGATATTACTTAGTCATCGTTGACGCCTTCTCCAAACGGCCAGAAGTAATTGCCCCAAACACCGAGGGCAATGTGTTTGAAACTTGACAAAAGCAATCCATCTGACCTTGATTTCAGATGGCAGATCGGCATTTGCTTCTGCTACCCTATATACAACGGTGCATTGAATGGTTTGTATATCGTGACGGCCGGCCGAACTGCATTTGAAAACGTTCCTCTCAGCAGGTGGTTAATCTTGCTTTGAGTTACCGTATCATCGGAGTATCCAACTCTTCTTCTTCTATAGGGCTATCACGGTCTACGGTAAAGAAATTACAGCTGTTGTCAATCTCTGCATTCGTGCTTCCCAACACCCCTACGGCCGCTTATTCCCCAGCCTTCTGGTCATTGTTTGCTTAGAGATCCTCGTTTAATTACCAGCTGAATAACATACTGTTATACGACAGATTTCCCCATGGTTCATCTTTTTCGTTTTGTTTCCGCTAGGTTCATTGGTCTTGATGCTTTGGTTGTTTCTTTAATTTGTAACAATTTTTCATGTGGTTCCCCGTTACTGTGTTGACTCAGCGATACACTAAGCCAATGAGGTTACGGTTTGTCCTAATGCGGTATCATCTCTCAGACGAGGCGATGTACATCAAATCGTCTTTGAAATTAACAGTTCGACCAAAGATTCTTCGTCTTCTTCGGATTGACTTTGGCTCAATGTGGTTCTTACTTTTGGATTAGAACCTCGTTGGAGCTCTAGGTAGACTGTATCCTGTACATGGTGGAAATAACGTATTGTTGTTACTCGTTCGGTCGATGGTTGTTATACAAGCACACTCTTAGCGTAGCTTTTTAATTCGTCCAGCGGGATGTTGAAGCCCACGAGCAGTTAAAAAACATTGCGACTGTGGTACTGTGGGGTAAGGTTCCGCAGTGTGTAGTCTAATGATGAGATCTACTATTCGGTAAATATTATCCCCTTCTGAACTCATGTTATTTGCAAAACAGAATTATCCAGAGAAAACAGGTGGAATAGTTTTAAAAAGACATTCGGTGCTTATAGGTTGAGAAGGTAGTTTTTAGTCCCTTTTAACAGGGAAATCCATCTGTTTTAAGAAATTTTAACAACAATCAAAACGTAACTGTCTGGGCCCGTATCCATTTCGGCTTAACTACCGAAATGTTATCATATAAGCATATCGTCCCGCCTTGTTTTCTTTAGCCCTCCCTGGTACCGTTGGCAACCGCGGCTGTGACGAGCTCCACCAGTTTTTCGACCAGTGCCGCTCCACCAGCCGTTAGTTCGACCGCAGCATCCAATCAAGTTGAATCCTCCTCACCAATACCCGCACCACAACCTACAACAGCAGCACCGTCGTCTGATGAACCAACAGCGGTGCCCACGACAACCACAGCCACCGGTGCTGATGCAACAACTGCAACATCCAGTTCACCGTCATCTTCACCAAACACGGTTGTTGTCAGCACGAAACCAGAATTCGCTCGCGTCATTGCTCCTTATACGGCTACCGCACCAGGTCAGCTATCCCTGCAACCCGGTCAGGTGGTTCAGCTTCGAAAACGTTCCCCCAAAGGTTGGTGGGAAGGTGAATTACAAGTGAGTTCGGGATATTATAGTTGCCTGTCATGATGTATTGTCTCACCGGGTTTTCTTTATCATCACGAACGGTCTGCGTCGTCATGTAACACCTATCCAATGCTAAATACATTGAAGAATAAGCTCTTCTCATTTGTTTCACCGATTTCTCGATGGAGTCGATATTACATTGTGAAATTGAATGAAAAAGTGCCACCTTCCGTTGGAAAGCCTAATCGTTCTCCTGTTTAAGTGGCTGGACACTAACAGTACTTGTCCTCCAATGATTAAACAAACTAAAAATAATTTCATACTGCATTGGTCGTCGCACAGGATAATGAGGACCGCACTGCCCATTGCATCTAACCGGATGAGTTGTGACAAGCGGGCTACTGCTCAGATTACCCTACCGTTGTTTAAAACTGTCTTCCTCACCTAAACCTTGCCCTTTTTCCCTTCTCCCGACATTCCATCAATTTGTTTGCCGCTCACCATTGGTCCTTACCAAGTAGCACTGTAAGTATTCACCTCTAAATAAATGGCAGATTCTGAAGGCTCGTCAAATTCGAAATCTGTGGGACTTCGACGTGGGGATTCAGATACAGATGGGTAAACAAGCATATCTTTCCTCTACGAACCCTTTAGAAATTGATGTCTGCTGCTTATCGGAGTCACGAATTTGGGATCCTTGTAGTATAAGTCACCTGAGTGCGCCGGGTCTATCCTCTACCTGTTTCCTCCACATCATGGGACAATAAACCCCTTTCATTAGGTCAACGTTAAACAGGAAGCGTACTAAACGCTGAGGCTGAGACTTTACTGATAGATTTGATACCCACCAATAGACGTTTGTTAACAGTGAGGCTCCAGAGTTCAGTTAGTGTTCGGAAGGGAAGCAACGCCATTCTTCATTTCTACGTATTCACCAAACAACTGCAGTCCCAATTTGCAAAGGACGAGTTTTACGGCAAACTCACCGTACTCATTCGATTGTGCCGAAGCTCTGATATTATAGTCCTCGCAGGTGATTTCAACGCTCAGCGTATTTGAAGACTGTCTAGGCGGACGCTTCTCTCTACCCACCACCAAACAGCTAACGGCGATCGACTGCTGTATTTCTGCATAGATCCTCGGTTATTCTTATCCACAGCCTTTTGCGTTACTGCTCTCAACAGACAGCAACGTGGTGTACTAGTTCAACGGTCAAATTAACCCAAATTGACAAAATAACTGTAAACTTTGAGTGGTTGTGGCGCAGTGGTTTGATCGCTATCACTGGCATGCTTTGGACTCTGTGGTCCGAGGTTCATGCCCGCCACTGCTTAACCTAGCGGGGCCTTATGTGGTTCGCCACTTCAAGACTAGTGGCTTAGGTTACCGGTTTACATCACAGAACAGCAGGTCTTCGTGGCTATATGGTTTATCCCGTCTGCTGTTCATCACGCTGTGTAATAAAAAAGCTGCCGCTGATGAGGCTCTAAATTGCTACTAGATTGAAGAACCCATTGGACCGCCTGCGTTGAGTCTGATCACGCATTAGTCCTGATGCCCTTCACGCTCTTTGCTTTTTTCACAGTTGAAGCAGTCTGCTTTTCGCTTTGTTGGGAATAAGACGGAGTTCCTCGCATGTTTCCCGAAAACTCAAACCTTGCGCTTTCAGCCTAACCCAGTGTGTTTTGTCATCCTCCCTTTAGTCCTTGTTTCAATGGCTGGTGTCTTACATCCGTATAGGGATGTTTGGATTAGCTTATCGTTGTGGTTAGTTCAAACATTCCTAAGTGGATCTAGTACTATGAGTGCGACGCACAATTTCTTCAAGGGACATCCGTTCCAAATGCGGAACGGATACCGTGACTAGTGTCTTGTTTTTTCACGAGCTGCGAAAGGTCAACACCAATCGACCGGATGAAGTTACGTGGGATACACTAAGAATTCTATGTCATTTGTAGTGTATGGTGGAATCGGGAAGGGGCAGCAAAAACAATACCTAACTGTTAAGATTGTAGTAAATGATACTAGTTGGGTTGTATAGAGAGAAGAGTTGATGCTCTGCTTTATGCACAACCAGCTTGCTGTCCAGGCCAGAGCAACAACAGTGTATGGACAAGCTTCTTTGTTTTGTTTAACTTGGGATTGAATATGCGAACTACAGTCGCGTCAGTCGTGGTTAAAAGGCACCATCTTCCTCCTTTAGCATATCTCCGGGGTATAGTGTTGATTATTTTGAATGCATCCAATTTGTTCACAACTTGCCGGCTGTTGACGAGGTGGCCGAGAACTGAGTGGAGAATACACCTAATGGTTCCTTTGTCGAGGGCCACAGGAAACGCAAACGCGACCTGATCAGATATTTATCATATCGAGCGCGTGAAAGTTGCAGTGATGATACATTGTTGTTCGGTATACATTTTACTCATGACGTGCTTCGGTCAGATGGTTGCCCAGAAACCTAAACATATATGATAAACATACACGATTGTGGACCAACACAATCGAAAGCCCGACCATTCCTCGCAAGATCATTTTCATTACCGTTCCGTTCAAGGGCAACAATGCGAACAACTGGCATCGTAAATGCACATGGTGAATCACCATGCGGGGACTATTGTGACAATACAATGAATCTATTTCACCTTTGGGTTGATTTTAAAGGTCTCGCCCTTCGCCATTTATCTAATGTACGATGGAATACTAGAATTAGGTTCACTCAAACAAATCACCCATGCACAGTCTTCCTAAACCCAATTTAAGTAACACCATCGGTTTTTTCCACCTCGTGACGTAGTGCACAATAGAAGATCCCTGTCTCCACATGTGTTAACGTGTTCTGCTTAGTTTGCCTGGTTAGAATTCACATTTGGTGTGATGGGTTCCGATACTGTATGACAAAACGGTGAGACTGAAGGGAATCGGGGGTTCTCTAAGAAGGAGTCCGACAGTACGGCATATTGTACGTTCAAAGCATTTCTCATTCACTGTTTGTGGCATCCATCAGCCGTTTGTGTTTGTTTTCGATGCGTGGATAATTTTATCGAGCTCTGTTTCTTTTTTTTTATCTCACAAACACACTAACCTGCTTGCTACCATCCCGTGTTCTTGATCTTCTATCCTCGATTGTTTGCCAAAAGCAACCCATGGTAAGCTCATGAATGCGGACAGTCCTCTCATACTGCTCACATTTTGTAATGCTCAAGTGCACATGTAATTGTTTCTTCTAAGTCGCGGGAAACGACATTTTAATGACTCTAAACTATCACTGAAGCTATCGTTATTGGCTCCGCATGATTGAAAGTGCACAAGCAGTGTTAATGCAAGCACACGGACGGGTGCGCATTTGTGCGGTGACTAATGTGATCAGTCTGAAAACGTTTTGTCAGTGTTTCCACCAGTCTCGACCACTGCTCTCCACTCGTGTGTGTTGCACTGAGCGGTGTTCTAATCCGTTTTGGCGTGTTACACCCCCGCTTGGGTCCCATACCTCCCCTCTATTGATACCGCTTGAGTGCTAAGCTCCTGTTTTGAACGAACACCTTTAGAACACTTCTGTTTGCGCCACCACCGCTGTTTTTTCTAATCGGTGCTTCAGATAGACTAGTGATTTTGAACTTTACATAAGCGTGTGCGATGCAAATGGCCTGCTAATCCCGCTCGTCGGAAAATGTGTCTATATGTTCCCAATCGAGTGATGGATCTTCTAACAATTGGTACCTCATTGTATCGATTTTTGTTGAAACTTGGACTGTAGAATTACCTAGCATGTGTTGCTTGTTTTGATGATTTCGGGTGAAAATCTATCAGACTGGGTAACTCACGGATCAAACATCTATGACGGGAAAAATTGCACCTTTTTATTACATTTGTGTGATAAACAGCAGAAGGGGTGAACCCCATAGTCATTAAGTTTAATGGAGGAAACGGGGAACCTATGTCCCGAGTATTGGAGTGGCGAACCACAGAAATATGTATATTTATATTTTCACACACGTCTGAATTCAGACTGTGCCAAACAAATCATGGTACAATAATCTTTATAAAAAGAAATACGTTCCATGATTTGCATGTGGACGGAATACTGCCACGTTGCCCGGTCCAAGGCAGGTGAATTTCCTCGAGGAATCCACAACGGGAGCCTTTGGCTAACCAAAGCCTGAACCGTAAAGGCAGCGGGGCGGGGCGGGGCGCGAAAACCGCAATCCATTATGGATCGGTGTCCAGTTCATCGAATCATTCGCCCTTTGAACGGAGTCAAACATCCAAGTTGTTCAATGCACCTCGATGCCCAATCGAGCCGGTGACCGTTGCCGCAACCGGAAAGGTGTGTGTGTGGTTCGTACGCCTCTTTTTGGTTGGTTTGGAATCAGGGGTTTTGGTCAACTCCCCTAGGCGAACTACCAGTGGTCCACCAACCCGGTTATAGCCCCGGATGTCGGCTTTTTTCCTCCCACTTTGGCGGGAAAACACCTCCGCCACAAGAATGCAGTGAGTCAGGCTTCCTCAGCAGAGACTGTTTGAGATGCTTGGTCGTATGACAGCGTTTCACGAGGTTCAAGAGAAGGGTGACCAGCCGCAACCCTAGATACCCACCCCCGACCATACTGGGGCTTTTGGAGGCAACCACATAAAACCCCGATAAGTTAATCGTGGTGTTGAACCGGACGACAGCGACTAGCACTTGATATGGAATGTTTTGTCAGCCGTGTTAGTTGACAATCTGAATGAAAACGGATTTTCATGCAAGAATGATCAATTACCAGTAGAACCCTTTTTATCGTTGATAGACTCAACTTAAAAAGATTTATGGGTTATTTCATTTCTGTTATGTGATGCATTTAGTCGTGTGCAGCGCAAATAAAGCGTGAGCTCAAAAGCTAGGAAGCCTTACCTGAAGGTTCAGTAGGTGAAATGCATGTGTTCTATTTGTGAGATCGCAGGTTCGACCCTCAATCGGGTCGATGGATTCGCGCTTCTGACGAAAGCCAACGATGTTGAATTAGCTATGCAGTGCTTCCTAGCATCATTTGCTCTTAGAATGTCGAAATTCGTCGTAAAATCAG